GCTCAATAGCTGATTTTTTAATCTGGGTTCTTTTCTTAGTTTGTTATTAGTTTTGATTTTGGTGGTGGGTTTTGTTGATTGTTCTTGGTTGGATATGGAATCATGGACATGTTTTGGAAGTTAAATTACTGTTTTTTGGCTATTAGGATTCTGTAAAACTCATGATTCTTTTTTGGAGGTGGGTAGGTTACTTTGAGTCTAGCGAAGGAACGGACTTTTTGATAAGCCAATGTTTCCTACTTATTTAATCTGATTAGAATTCAGGAACTCATTTAATGAATTTTCTTTCCAAGCCAAAGCAAATATCTGAAACTAGATTCACATTGATATTATGTGGACGATGTTATGCTTTAAGTCCAGCAAGGTTTGTTTTTTATGCCTAAACTGTTGTGGTCTAAAAGGTTTAAACCTTGGGTTTGGGAGGAAGAGACGAACCTTTCTTTCTGAAAGCAGCCTCTGCCAAATCTTCCTACATTCTTCTGAAAGTGGTCATCAAAGCAGTGCAAAATTTTTCAATTTTGTGCTAATAAAACCGAAGTAGGAATGTAGGAGGGCAGGGTTGGGGTTGGGGATGACATAAATCTTCCATTGAGTAAGGGTTTCAGAACATCATGGATTTTTTCAGTTCCTTACTTGCATTTGTGTTAATGGTACTCTCAATTCAAATGAGAAATGTTGGTTCAGTATTTATTTAGCTTTTTGATGATAATTTGACAAGAGTCAATTTTAATGCTTTTCTCATAATTGAAACTGAAAATTCTAAATATTTAGTTTAAGTTCTTTACATTTATAAGCTAACCATACTGCTGATCCTAACTCCCTTATCCCGTGGCTCAAAAATCTATCATCTGGTTCCTCACCCGCTTCATCGGAGCTGCTACACCATCTCTACAACCCTGGGGGTTCTATGCTCGCCTACTGCCCGCACTCCTAGAATGGCAAGTAACTGGGATAACCCAACAGCTGGTTCAGCATGGGCTGGGATGAATCAAGATGGCTTTCTGGTGTTCAAATTCCCCAGGACGGGCCTTCATCTCCCACATTCAGCCTTGTCCCCCAAATCCATTTGGGTTCAAGGAGCCATTGTCACGTGGGGAGTCTCGTATGTGGACCCCGGGGCAGAGTGGAACATGCTCTCCTACTGTGGCTGCAGGTTTTGATCAAACGGCTGATGTTCCGATGTCAGATGCAATTTCAGCCGAGT